TATTGAGATGAGGTCAGAAACATTTTATACTCATAGCTACTGCTACGTACCTGCGAAAAGGTGCGGATGCAGTAGCCGGGCCAGACATGGCTGTAAAACTTGTCAATGATGGCTGTTCCCCATCCAAACAGACGCTCGCGATGAAAGGCGAGCTTTTCTGTATCAGGGAACTGAGGCGAAAGGTCACCAAGGTTAGGGCCGATCCCTCTGCGAGACCAGGATGTGACAGGATTAGCATAAAGGTAAACAATGTGGGGATCAGGAAAGTTCTCAGGGACCTTTGTCACCAATGTGGTGCAGTGACTCGGAAGGTTATGACGGGGATTGGTGGCCAAGACCTTCTGTAGCTGATGTCGCCATTTTTTAAGGTAAACCTCAAGCTGTGTTTCAGTCATGGCTTCCGCAGCTGCGAGCAAATCTGTGGCTAAAGCCGTGGATGCTAGCTTGGTTGCAGTGACGATGCCACATCCTGGCAGGCCAGCCTTGTTCACGAGTGATCAGGAGTGAGGTTTTACAAACGAAAGAATGGAACTCACAGTATCATAATCCGCACCATTCAATACAGCAATCAACAAGAAACCAGCCCGGCTTAAATGGTTTTGACCCTCCGTTTTCGCGGAATCTTTTGTTGTGTAGATCTCGGCATCGTCATTGCCCTGCTTCTTCATGTGGAGACTAGGTGCAAATCCGTTAGTAACGAGCTACACACCTGACATATTCTCTCAACACCAACCTTCGAATAAGCCTTGTTCCACCAAAAAGAAAATAATCGCTATCCGATGTGATGGCAAAGTCGATGATGCCATGTCTTTCGAAAGCGGCTAGTTCCGCTTCTGCCTCACCTGGGGCCTGCGAGCCGAAATCAGTGTCATAACCAATTGACAAGATCAGGGGGAAGGGCTTACTTGGTGAAATTTGTAGCGAAAGTCTTGAATGATCTCAGAGAAGTGTTTGATGACCCAATGCTCCTTTTTCTTGACCACCGTACGGCGCTTATAATCAGGCCTCTCGGGACCATCAAAAACAAATATGACGGTGATTGGATAACGAAGAAGATGGGCCAAGTGGAAGAAAAGTGTGCGAAGCTCTGGATTTTCACCAGCTTGAGTGTGGAGGCCCTGCACATAGAACACGGCCTGGCATTCAACAATCCATACACTGTCTTGCTCATCAGCACTATGTGCAAGATGAGCAATCCATCCTACCTTGCATCAATTCCTACAACCAAGGACCTAGTATTTCGTGCATTTCTTAAAAAGCCTTCGCGAACAGCCAATTCAAGTAGCGACACCAAGCGTCGCACAGAGTCCAATTTCTGCAGAAGTAAGATAAAGATCATCTGAGGCAGAACTCCATACCTTCCAAACATTGCGGATCCCCATGGTGGGCAGAGACGACAGAATAGCAGTGTTGGGGCAGATGTCTCAGTATCTCTGCCATGGTATGAGAGACGACTTGGTGTTTGCATCAACAAAGAATTCAAACTCCGCACGACGCGTCAATTCACGGTCGCGTCGACCATACCCAAGTGTCATTGCACATAGTATCTTTCAAAGAAAGAAAAAAATATTCATCATTGAGATTCTGTTGAGTGTTTCAATGGGTATGATGATTTTTTTTAGCTCTGCCCAACACTGAACCATTTGTCAACAGATGGTGTCCTGTTCTGCATTTAAGAAATAACCAGACATAAGTAAGAAATAAGTCAAAGGTAGCTTAAATTTAAGCTGGATTTAAGAGAATTTAAGGAGCCAAACAAGAATTTAAGGAGCCAAACAAGAATTTTAGGAGCCGAGAGGAGTGTTGTTATGGACAACTTAGCCATCAAGTACAACCCTTGACAAGATACAAATCGACGGGCTTAGCACCCTCAGATCTAAGCGAGGATCTCATGCTTTTTATACTACTTGATCATTGCCCAAGGTTGAGTGTTTCTTGAGTGTTTCTCTCTTATTTCGAGAACAACAAGCTGTGTACATCGAATGAGCTGTTCTCGAAACAGTGTGTATTGTGAATCAATGTAAATATACTGTAGTGTAATGTAGAATATGTATGTATCATTGCAATGAGCTTGAACTCGGAGAGCTTCGCGTTGAAACCAAGCGGGCAGATTTACGCGATGTGGATTGTCGATGTCGGCCTAAAAACTCAAACAGTTCGACATCTTGCGTGTTACAGAATGGTCAATGCGAACCTGTGGATTGTATTTGGCGTTACGAGGATGGAGTGCGATGGCCTTCAGATCAAGGTGGGAGTCTGTATCCACCATCGTGACAATATCGGGTACGATGCCTTCTACGGCAGTGGCTGTTGGGGTGCACGAATGGAATGGATATTGAAGGGAACGAAGGTCCTGCAATGGCATTGGAAGTGGCAGGTGGCGGCAATAGCCTGTCATGTTTTTGTGGTTGAGGGAATGAACTGGACAGAGACGAAGTCAGTCCATTTGAGGTTGGTTGTGAAAGGTAAGGGTTACCTCCAACGGTTGCTGCTGCTGAAGCTGGTAAGGTTGTTGTTGCTGGGTTTGTGCGTCCAAAGGTGATCTGACGAGTGGGAAGGGCGAAAAACATGGACTTGGAAACAACTACATCGTCAGTGTCGTGCATGATGTCCAAGCCGACAGACTTACTCACTCTGGGTCACTTTCTCCAGTGGCTCACGAGCCATAACCCAACCCCTCCATAGTGTATCCACCCATTCCCCGCATCCCCGCATCCTTCCAACAGCGTTGACGTGTTAGATTAAAGTCAACTCTTCGTGTGTGCATTATCGTTGCCTTGTTTGTCTTCTCGTGTGTCCGTTTGGTTTGTTGTAGCTTGAAAAAGGAGATCTGTTGGTTTTTCTTAGCCGAAGTCCAAACTCACCATTGAGACAATATTCTGAAGGGTGTGATATGCTGTTGCTCAAGGGTGAGATCTGAGAGGTGCAGGGGTACTTACTTAGATGGAATGGAAGTCAGTGGTGCCGCTTCTGTGGGTATCAGGGGCGGCTAACCTGATGGCTTGGTGATGGCTCCATGATGTCTCCCGAGCAACAATCACGCAAAGCCTGAGCGCCCGCCAGATCTGAGTGTCGTCCCTGCACGCTGAGAGATTTCTGAGATACTCATATTTAACAGCTTTAAGGAATCCTGTTAAATTGGCAGATTTAAATCGACTTACGTCTTCCGTTCTGCATTGTAACCTCTGTGTTAAAACGACTAAAGACGTCATATCACAACAAAATCCTATTCTGTCGCCGATCTTCCCTCATCCCTGGGACGGCCGCCTGCGACCCACATGATGATGATCAAGTCAAATTGAAGAAGACTCGGATGGACGTATCCATGTGGAAACAACCCGCAGGCCGCCGGTTTTGAAACACGTACCAGGACAAGGCCGCCTCAGAAGTCAATTTCAATTGTTTGGAATCTGAACGTTGGACTCTTATCAACGTCGACGTGTTTTGTGGATCGCTTACCACCTCCGTGTTGCGTTGCTACATCTTCATGTCGGCTTTTTTTTTCATCACGCGGCGTTTTTTCAACGGCGTCGAGCCAATCGTCGATCTATGACGGCACCGTATGTTGAAATCTCATCATGAGCTTCGAATGCTAGCGTTCATAACAACACAGTGATTATATCATGATTCTCAATAGCCGAGGCCCTTATGGGCGTCATGGTGAGTATCTTGTGTATCGCGTTTTTTAATTAACACAAGATTTTATCTCTGCCGGGTGCTATAACAGGCCAGGTTGGCACTGGATCGGATGAAATGATCCCTGGAGGAAGGATCCACGTTCCAGCTCCATGGCGTTCACTCTGGAACAAGTGATTACCTTGCTGGAGCATTCGAGTATTAGTCATGTACATCAGTACAGTCATCCACCCCTTAATGATACACCACCCCCATTTGATACACTTTTGACTAGCATATATCTCGCTCAATACTAGACCAATTTTTACGAAACAAGTTGTAACAAGTAGTACAAACTCATATCTACCACTGTACATAATTTGGATGCAATTGAGGCAGAATTGGCAAAGCTGTGGAGCATACAAAATGGACTGTTTTTCGGAAATAGCCAAATACAGTCACACCACTCAATGATACACCCATAATCTTAGTTTTTCTCTGTGAAATGTGGGTCAAACATTCTGAAAGTTGGTATGGTCATAGAAGGGCATTTATCTGAGATTATCATGTAGTTTTTGTAGAGAAAGGTTGTGCTCAAATCTGTTGAAGCTAATTTCTCATTTTGGGTGTATCATTAGCAGGTGGATGACTGTAATTGAGCAAATCAGTTTCCACGGGTTTCTCAACCCTGGCAACCTCCGAAAACCACTAAAAACCTCGAAACATTGAAAAATATTGAAACTTGGCAACCTATGTGTCCTTTGTTGGAAACCCGCCGCCCAAATAGCGTAAGATGCACACGTTCACTAGTCCCTGACCGGCGAGACCCTTAGACTATTCCTTTATTAATCCTTTTCAGGTTTCCGGACACCCCGGCAACTTCCAAAACCAGTAAAACCCGGAATCTATTTTGCCATCTTACTGATGTATGTTCTTTTTTTCTTTGATTCTTATTCAACTTACGGGATACTTATTGCTTTCCTGCAGCGGACGACTGGTTTGTGTTTTTCCTCTTGATTTCAATGGTCGGTTGTGGTTGACAATAAAAAATAAACAGCGGCGGCCGTTTGTCTTTTGGTACGTTCTCTTCGTTCGTTTTCTCTTACTTCCATTTACTTGTTTGGACAAGGTATACGAAACCCTCTTGTCATTCGACAGAGACGTCGAGTTGATCTGGTCAGCTCCATGGAACACTATCAAGATCCTATTTCTCTTATCGAGGTACATGCCGTTTATAGATGCAGGAGTGGTTTTATACTGTAAGACGCCCACTTCGTCCCTCTACCTTGCTTTTCTTTAATTGTGGACAGATATATTGTTGGACGGATCGTCTCATGAAAAATGGCTGACGGTGTTCAAGCTTAGTGGGAGTGAGTATTCCATTTTGTTTGTTGTCCCTGTATGCGTGCATTGATGGATGCTGGAACGCTTAGCTTTGTTCGCGTTGGGGATTGGGGTTACTGAGCGTGAGTGACAGCCTTGCGTCCTTTACTCCGTCAGACTGACAATCCGACTCAAGTCCTATTGACGATAAGAACATGGGCGGTATGGGGCAAGGATAAGAGACTCACTATCGCCCTTCCGATCCTTTACGTTGTGTGTATGGCGGGTGTGCTCACGTCGTTGAGGCTCTTCCTTCCTACAGTCGGTTGTAAGTCTTTATCCTCCCCGATCGGCTTTGGTCGCTGATGTGTACTTTTTTGTGTGTTAAGTCATCCCGCCTCCACGCGATGCTGGTGCCCAGTCGGCGGGGTGCTTTAATACCGGGGCAAGCCCTGTTTTGTTTGCTGCGTGGGTTTTTTTAATGAGTTATGATGCCGGTGAGTGGGATTTCGGTCCTTGTGAACTGGCGATGCTGAGGAGGCGATGGAGTTATGTTGATTTTGATGGCGATACGAGGGTTGCCTACGCGTGCGTGAATTGCTTTTTGGCGGGGTAGTTTTTTGATGTTTGATGCAGTTAAAACTACTCGTCTTGGACATCGCAGACTGGCGAATGCTGTGTTTCTTAACGGTACGAATTGATCTCTATCTCTCCATCTAGGTATTGACATATAACCTTTAGGAACCTTTTACTACCTCTACCTCTTTGGTACGCGTTCAAATTAGCGTGCTGAGGCCAACTATTGACATGCGCCTTCAGCTATGTCCGCCATCAACGTTGTGCTGATATATCCAGTATGTAGCTACATTCTTCTGTCCAAATATATTTATTGAATTCATTCTAGTACGGCTACCACAATCTGCTTTCGACGTAAGTTTCTCTCTAAGAATCCAAGCCGACTGCTAAGACTTTCCAAAGATTTGAGCGCGTCATGTACTCGATCTTGACATGCCGAGTGATTTTGGACATACGGGGCGAAACGACGTCCATCAATGACTGGATGGCAGACTCAACAAGATCTCGCCCTAGAGTCCGCATTCCTGTCCATAGGTAGCGACCTTTTGATTTAGTAGATAGAATAATGGATTTTATGGACTAGCTTTAACGTTTGCCTTGGCTGAGACTCGGTGATCAACAAATGACGGCGAGTGACGTTTGCTTACGTTATGTGTGGTTGTCTTAAATGTTTGAGGCGCGTTCTTGACGGTGAGCCACGATTTTGTACCGTCGAAACGCCTTTTATTGCCGGCTTGAATGGTCCACCGTCCTGCAGACTCGCGTCTTTTGACAAACGTCCTCTCCCACGAAAAAGAGTATGCAAAACAGTTACAGGCACTGTTAGCATCGTCCCAGGCATCTCTGGCTTCATTCACTGCCTATGCTGCTGCGTCTCCGCCACCGACGTCTCAGACCATCCTCAAGGTCGCAGGCATCCTCTCTGCCACTGACAGTGCCCTCGCTGCTTATGCAGCTGCAGTCGATCAGTGGAGGGAGGCTATGCGCGCCCTGCAGGCTTTAGAAGACGAGGTTGGTAATATTGTGCGCGATAGAGAAATTCTGTGCGTTCGCTATTCTCTTTTACCGTCTTCATAACTTACTCTATCACAGCGTCACCCGTCTTATAAAGGTTTCGAAATCACAAAAATCTATAGGTCTAACCGGCCAGCGGTTCGCCTCATCTTCCTCCCTAGGCTCGGTAGACACCCCATCCCCATCGCCACAGCGCACTCGCACCATCGCGACATCTACCAAAATAGCTGCTGCCCAATCAGAATTGCAGGCATGCGAAACGCATTTGGCAACCAAGGAGAACGAGCTCGCAGTGCGCAGGACCGTCGCCGTGCGTGACGGTCTGAATGTTCGGTGTCAGGCCTTGGTCCAGTGTGGCTGGGCATGGACTGAGCTGGGGAAAGAGGCCATTGGCGTTCTAGAGTCTCCCGAATTGACGGAAGACGTTCATGGTGTGTTCTATTCCGTCATACCCGCTCATACATCAGCCCGATGACGAGATGTCCCTTCCATTGCCTGTTTCCTCCATTCATCCCCCGTACTGATAATACTTACTGTACAGGCGCCCATCGACCACGACTCTTACACGAGTCCTTCCCGCATCACGACCACAACAAGCCGCTTCCTCCGCACCAAGATGATCACTCTTCCCTGGGGCCCTCCCGGTCCGCGTCGCAGATCCATCTTCCGAACGGTATGCACGCTGAGGAGGGCTCTACTACGAGTCTCTCGCACTACTCCCAGTCTACGGACACACATAGGATCCAAATTCCTGCAGCCCATGCCATAGACAGCGAATTGGTTATGCCTATGCCTGTTATGGATTATTCCAGGGGACATAAGCGAGATTCATCAGCGTCGTCCACCCCTCGGTGGGTATCCTTCCTTCCATGCTTCTAATCAAGTCTAATGAATATATAGAATGCTATCCCCATTATCTCAACGCGACTCATGGATGTCGGGATCTAGCGAATGGAGATTCGTGACTCCCCTTCAGTCATTTAGCGAGCTCCCGCTGCCTCAGACACCGACACCCATGGAGGAACAACCGCCCCAGAGGCCATTCCAAGTCTCTACATCCCAGAGACAGTCCTTTGTCGAGAGTAACCACCGAATGTCTAGGAGCGAGACACAGCTCTTCCTGCAGGGCCAACCTACCCAACAAGAAGTTCAGATACATCGGCGGTCAACGTCAGTTGATAGGCAGACTTCTCCTGCTCCTCGTGTAAGGCCCCTGTCCCAGTCGTGGGTTGATGTCAGTGTTCCCGGGCCGAGTTCCGCTCCGGTGATTACTCAGGAAAAGTCGACTTCGTCGATTTTTACGGGTGGTCCGACGTTGTTCGCGAGTGCGGAGGGGGCACATAATACTGTTTGGGAGAACGTGGCTGCGAATGCTGCCGCTTCCCAACCTTTGAGGAACGAACGTCCAACTTCTGGATCTCGAAGGAGCCCATCACCACCAGCTGGAAGAGTATCTCCAACTAAACGAGGTGCCTCTTTGTTCACTGGTGGACCGGCATTGTACACTGCTACTGCGCCTGCGCCTATTTCTGCCGAAGCTGCTGCTGCATTCGAACCTTCCTCTTCTACTCAACCCCATAAATCTACATTATTCACGGGTGGTCCGACGTTGTACGCTGCTGCTCCTCCATCATTGGACACCTCAAATTATGCATCCACGTCTACTTCTACTGATTACCCCTCATCTTCAAATTACGCCATCGCCTCAACATCCACAGTCCCTCCCAGTTCATACACAACACCCACCACACACGTCCTCTCCCGACGAATCACAGAAGAAGAGCTTCGAAGCGAGAGCGAATCTGGGACGGAGGGAGGGAGTTCTGTGGATGGAGGAGAGAAGGAGGAAGATGTGGATGAGATGATTAGGGAGGGACGGTTGGGTGTTGTTGAAAATCCTAGGTTTGGCTCTTCGCTTCCTCCTCCTGTTAATGTGCCTCTTGCTGTGACGAGTCTGGGTCAAGCGAGTGAAGGCCAAGCTGGAGGAGCACCCCAAATTCAAACTCAAGAGCCTCCTCCTCGAGCCAGTGTAGACGAGGCACGCACTTCTCCGAATAAAGTAGCTGCTGGAGGCGTGTTTGGGAGACGTTTCTCTGGTTTTAGGAATGGCCAGAAACGGGGGAGAGCGGCTTCGGATGCTGGGAGCCAAACACATCCGAGAAGCGAGAGTGTTGCTGTTGGGCCTCAGACGACTGAGCCCTCCCACGAAACCAATGGGGTTCCAGTTCCAGTTTCAGTAAATGAACCTGCAGCTCAGGAACAACAAGCAAACGAAAGTACACCGGCGTCTGTGAAGTCTTCGGCTCCTTCATCGCCTTCAAAGAGCAAGTTTATGGGGAGTTTGAGGTTGTTGTTTAGTGTTAAACCTCCTGTCGGGAATGGGCATCCTCCTGCACAACGGTCTCAGGCGCAGGAACAACCACAACAGGAACAGACGCCTGCTCAGCCCCAGGAATTTGCGTCTAGTCAGCCCCAGTCTGCTCTAGGTCAATCTCAGCCGCAGTCGTCTGCGCCTCAGTTATCTGCACGTACTCAAGCTCAATCACAAACAGCTGTATCGAGCCAGCCTCAGCCACAGACAGTTGCATCTAGCCAACCTCAGCCACAGACAGCTGCACCTACTCAACCTCGACCCCAGGCGCAGGTGCTCCAACCTCGTCAGCGTGCACCAGAGGGCGAAGACGTGGAAAGTGTTGCGTCCAGTGACGATGGTCATTTCCCTGCACCGTCCCGTCTGGTGGCTCACGACAATCCGAATTTAGCTGGACGATCGAAGCCAAGGAGGGTGGATACAGAGAGGACGACCAATACGCTCCATAAATCAAACACCAAAACTAGCCCAAGCAAACCCTCCGTTCTAAGTGGCTTTTTTGGTTCGCGTAGAGCTGAATCAGTCAAAGATTCATCACCGGCTAAAGTGGAAACACGAACACGAACGGATAAGAATGTCAAGCCGGGATTGGGTCGTGATGAGACGTGGTTGGTCGATTCTAGTGATGATGAGGTTGGAGGACAGAGGGCTACGATTTATCAAGGGCAGATGCCGAGGTCTCATCTTGAGCCTGTTGATCTGAGAGAGGTGGGGCAATCGTTGGAGGCGAGGTATAGAGGGGACCCAGGTGTTGGTGAATCTGGGTTTGGAGCAGCTGGTGGCCCTACTCCTCTTGTCCCCACGCAATTCCAGGAGCAAGAGTTGCTGCCACAGCAGCAGCAGCCAAAGAGGGTGGTGAAGAGGAGGGGGTCGACGGCTACTGAGACTACGATTGGGACGCAGAGGGAGAGTGATGCGGTTTCTTCCGGTACGGGGAGGCAGGGAGGGAGGAAGTTGAAAAAGTCGAGGACTGTTACTGAAGGTGGTGATGGTCATGCAAAGGGAAGATCTGAGGCTGCTTTGGTCGGGAGCAAGAAGGTGAAGAATGGACGGAGGAGTTCGAGCACACCCCCTGGCAATGGTAATGGTGTGGCTCCAGTGGGTGGTGGTGCTTTGCAGCCTCTTCCTGCTGTGCCTGTAGCTACGCCGGCGCTGCCAAAACCGAAGGAGAAGGGCGTGGTGAAAGGGGATGAGCATGAGGGTGGAGATGCTGGACTTGTGAGGAGGAGGTCTACCATTAAGAAAACGACGAAACCAAGTGTGGCGACTACGGCTGCAGGTGGTGGTGGTGGGTCTTCGACTCATCCTGCAGCACATGCCGAGTCTTCCAATCCAACGGGTGGGAATTCTTCGTCCCATCATATTAGGAGTTCGTCTCATATTTCTGCAGGGTCTGGGCTTTCAAATCCTCCAGCTGGTACAGCACATCCTGCAGCTGGTAATACACATCCTGCAGCGGGTAATGCCCATCCTGCAGCTGCTGGAAGTTCTGGGCCTTCCTCTCATGCTTCTTCTGGTCCAAGGATCTCCCATTCTGGTCCTCACTCCCGTGTGAGTGCTGGGCCTCCTCATCCCCCACTAAATGTTGCTGCTGCCGGACTATCTCACCCTGCACATTCTTATCCTCTGGCTTCTATGTCTAGTCATCCTGGGACAAGCGCTGCGTCCCATCACCCTGGTACGAGCGCTGCTGCGCCTTCCCATCATCCTGCGAGACCTGCACCTCATCATGCAGTAACTGTTAGCGCACAACATCGTCCTCCACCGATTGTCACTCCGTCTCATCCTGCGACCAGTGCTCCTGCTCTTCATGCCGCTACTACCTCTCATCCCTCCACAAGTGCTCTTCCTCGTCCTGCGGTGAGCGCGGCTCCTTCTCATCAGCCTCTAAGTAGTACACCATCTCCACACCATGCTGCCACCAGCACTGCACCTCCCACAACTAGTGCTCCACCTTCACGGCCTACATCCGTCCGGGCCCACAGCTCGTCGACAACTGTGCACGTCCTTCCTGCAGGAGGTGAGCATCCCAGTGGTACGCTCAGCTCTGGTGGCTGGGGAGGCCCTAGAGGTGGGCTTTCGAGGCAATCATCTGTGCTCAGTGCGTCTAGCGCGCCTATTGGCGTGGAAAAGGGAAAAGCACAGGCCACACTTGGCCAAGGCATGGGTGTAGGGAGAAGGGCCTCAGTTGGTGGCGTGCCAAAAGAAGGCTCGACGCCTCCAGAGGGCCAGAAACCAAAACACAAGCGATCGTTGAGCATGGATCTTGGACCTGCAACTGCTCCTACTTTTGTGCCCATTGAAAAAGAGAAGACGAGTCCTGTTGTCAAGAAAACTCCTAAAGCAGAGAAGAAGCCCAGTGCTCCGCCTCGTGGTCTATCCCATATGCAATCACACACGCACTTCCCACCAGCTGGGACCACTTCGACTTCACAGAGTTTGATGAGCATTGTGGAGGGTGTGGCAAGAGGCAACCGACAGTCTTGGGACACTGGGGAGGAGAGTGTGAGGGCGCTGAAGTATACAGGGGGTATGGAGCGACCTATAGGGACAATGCAGGTTGAGGTGGTCAGAGCACCTCCCAGGATGGGAAGGGAGGCGTTGTTGGCAGAGCTTACCCCTAACGCAAAAGCTGGTGTCGGTGCAGGATCTGGTGCTCGCGCGAGAGGTGAAGGAATGCCAGAGGTCCCTCGTGCACCCCCTCCTGTGACGGTCACCAAACCAGGCTCGTTATCGATGTCAAATCCGGAACAACTGTCAAGGGAACGTCCAAAAGCCGCTTCTGCTGCACCTACCAGACGCACAGACACTAACGTTGCAAACCGGCCCACAAAATCCCCTCTCAGAAGTGCTTTGAAGAGTCCAAGCAGGGATCCTTCACCTCACGCTCCTCGAGATCCTCCAATCGCTATTTCCGTACAAAAACCTCAGACCATGCCTCCTCCGGCTGCCTCCTCTGTTCCAATCCCCCCTTCCGCATCAGCATCGTCTCCTGCTGCTCAAGGAACAGAGACGTTGGCCCCTTCATTGAGCTATACGCAGGCGAGTGGCTATGGGAGAGGTCAAGGGCACCAGAAGAGGAAGGAAGAGGAGAGCGATGGCGTATCGATCTCGTCGTATGAGACTGGACATGAGGTCTTTGTTCCCGATGCGCGCGAGGTAACTCAACCCCAGTCGACGCCAAATGGTAGCACGAACCCTCAGGTTGGTTCTTCAGAAGTGTCCTCGTCCGCTTCGGGCGCCGCCCAGCAGCAACCTCCACAGCCAACGACTGAATCGGAATCGACGCCTGGACAGGCTGGTGCTCCTCCACGTAGGAGGAAGAGTGTGCGCGTATCGCTTCAACCGACGTTCTCGCCCACCCCACCCGCGATCGACTATGACGATGACGAGGATGAGGATCAGAAGCATGCACCGTGGAAGCCGGAAGGGAACCAGGCCAGCACCAGCCAGCTGCCCGTACAACCTTCACAGTCCCAAAGCGAGCCTAAGCCACCGATTGACATTCATAAAGACATGTGGGCAGATTCGGACGACGAAAACGACGAGTACAAAAATGCGAAGTTACTGCTTGCTCGTGCGGCCAGAAAGACGTCGAAAAGGACTTGAAGCTGCAGATGTATGCCCTCTTTTTCTTTCCTTTTCGTGTTTCACTCATCTTCAGTTATAGAATCCTTTGCGAAACCTGTTCAAAACCTAAACATTGCTCACTTCTATCTTACGATCAAAACCAGCCCTTTTAGTATCCTTATCTTACAGGCCTTCACTACTTATTACATTATTTCGCTTTGGTAGTTTACGCCCCAGTATCTACCAACAATATTTTCGTTCTTCTGAGCATTGTTTGAGCTGACATTTTTTTGAGGGGGAGAAATGCTTACATAATGAAATTAACTGTGGTGAATCCACCGTCATTTTGTCTTCCTCTTTACTGTTAAACCACATCGTCTCCCCGGGCAACGACAGCCAGCGACGCGGAGGCCTACCTGCGACAATTTGGAGACACAGATTCTTTGATTCTCGCACACCACACGCCAGATTCGAGCTACAACCAACACTAAAACCATAATGTCTGAAGAAGATCAACAAGCGCCATCTCAAGAGGAGGAGCAGCTCAAAACTGAGCAGAACAATGACACCATAAACATCAAAGTATGTGATTCACAGCTTCATTTCCAAGTGCCCGCCGGCAACTGTTCGTCTTTTGAGATGAGACTTGACTGACAAGTGGCATTTTCGCGGTTTCACTCTAGGTTGTTAGCTCTACTGGGGACGAGGTGTTCTTCAAGATCAAACGAAGCACGAAACTCAGCAAGCTCCAAGGAGCGTACGCGAATAAAGTGGGCAAGGACGTTGGCAGCATTCGGTGAGTTTCTGCACTCGTTTTCGTGAAGAACCATATTTGTCGTTGGTCGAATTTGCGAAATTTTAGCACCCCTTCTGTTGAAGCGTTTGCTGACTTGCTCGCCGTTTGTCTTCTCTAGATTTTTGTATGATGGAACGAGGATAAATGAGGACGACACGCCGAACACTCTTGAGATGGAAGACAACGGTACGTACCATAGGGTTTAGTCGCTTATTTTGCTAATTTTCTGGCTACGACCTAGATACGATTGATGTCATGGTTGAACGTACGTTCTGTTCGTCTTCTTGAAACCCTTGTTGACCAGCTTTCCCCAGAGGTTGGAGGCTCTCCTCGTCTTTGGCCCTAGGTTTTACTTCTGGCTGCTGGTGTACCCCTTGCTTTCGTTACTGCTCGTACATACAACAGAGCATTGTATCAATCACGTTCTGCTATCTTAATTTTCTTGCCATTGCACAAGTGGTGGGCTCTTGAAAGTTGACGACGTGATTCTAGAGTCATCGACACACAAGCGGATTTGGGCTAAGTTGAGAGTTTCATCGTCAAAATGAACTTTATATCATGAGCAACAATATGCGAAATGAGAACTATCTTAGGGTGTAAGAAAAGCGTGGAAAGATGAAGTGGGGAGGGAGTCGAAAACTGAAGTGAACTCGATCAAGGTTCAGGAAAGACGAAGGCGAAAGCTTGTATGTGAAGGAATAAGACAATGGTTCCAATGAATGTAGATGTTTTGTCGCGGGAATAAATGTAGAATTGATAGACAACAGGCCATGACCGGGACTCTTTCAGTCTTCACCACGCTTCAGGATGAAGACGGTGGGCTCATGGCTTGCGTGGGTCCCACCAAGCTCGGCGGTGAATAGTATGCGTCCACCTCCGTCACGAATTTCTTCGGATCGTCCGTGATTTGGAATATCTGTAATGTGAGAGACGAGGAGAGTACACCACAAGAGGGAACGGTGCGGATTGCCAACATGTTATTCTAGATGAACGGAGACATGACTTGCTGCCAGACCATTCATTCTTGGAGCACTCAAGGCCCTGATGGTAGAGGTCGATATCCTCGATATGTTCCTTTGGGCAAAGAGTATCAGATGGTTGGATTTCACAGTGGGAGCATAAAAATGATGTATGTACGATGCTTTTTGGGGACATCTTAGGCCAGACGGCGTTCCATGGCATTGATTCGCAGCCACAGTCGTAGACTTTGCCGTTTTCCAACTCTTCATGATTTCAGTAGTGCTGAGAGTTGGGTGCATCGGGATTGGGGTGTGCGAGCTAGTATGCAACTAGGCGATGAACTCGTTAAGTCTCGATTGGTGGAGATGGGCTCAAGCTTGGTCACCAAATAAGACCATCTTCGCAGATGTGATTCCTTGCTAGGATCCTAGGCTCAATTTGGTGGGTTCTTATGAGAGAGAGCCAAGAGAGAGCAGTGCACAATCGACGGGCAGCTCAACCCAAAAGTTTCTTTGGCGCTGTCTGGTGTACCCAAGCGCCGGCCAACAGAAGTCAATAACAGGCACCTCCATCACAAACCCTGAGCGCTCCTACTCTGTAACGCCGCACTCAGTGTGAAATCACCAAAACCGTCAACCTTCCACAACATTCGACACGTGGTGATACTGGGAGTCCCCAGGCTTCAGCGTCTTTTTCCTTTCCTTCTCTCCTCCCGACTTGCATCATCTGAGAATACGCTTCAACATGAACAGCACGAACATTGTCACGGGCGCTCATAACTTCGTTGTGAGTGGCAGCGCAATCGATGTGGGTGCAACCGTGCGTGAATCCTTTATTAAGTCCTTGTGTCTGACTGATGGACGTGAATCTCTTACAGAACTATGTTAACAACCACTTTGTCAACCGAGCGACATACGGCACGGTCGTCCCTCTGAAGGAAACCGTGCGTGAATACTTTACGAAGGCCTTTGTATGACTGACGGACGTGAACCTCTTGCAGATCAACATTGACAACAATTATGGCAATAGGACGACGTCCGATGGGGTCATTCCCCTTATGCCAAATCTGAGCAATCGGTTCACAGGCCGCACAGAGGTCATTGCCAAACTTGAGAGGCATTTTTCCAACACAAATGACTCAGCTCAGAAGAGAAAGTTCTTTCTGTTGTATGGGATGGGGGGTATTGGGAAAACTCAGATCTGCTTGAAATTCATTGAGGATATGTCTGATCAGTGAGTATCTCACCATTGGATAAGCAGTGGCAGAGATTCAATTTCCCCAGCTTTTCTCGTGTTTTCTGGATTGATGCATCATCTACTACTACAATCAAACAGGGATTGAAGGGTATATCTAATCTTCCTGAGACCCAGTCTTTGATGCTGGATGGCTCTCCTGAATCTGCTCTCCTGTGGCTAGGCTTGCTGAAAGATAACTATGTGATAGTCTTTGACAATGCTGATTCTCTGACACCAGATGAGCTGGCGGCCTACTTTCCGCCAGGCCTGGGAGGAAATATTCTTATAACTAGTCGCAACTCCACAATGAGGAAGCTGACTTCATTTGAGAATTCTGCTGAAGTAAGTGAAATGGAGGAGAATGATGCTATTAAATTACTTCTGAAAGCTAGTTGCTTGGATCTGTCTTCAATGGATGTTCAAACTGAAGCTTTTAAGATTGTGAAGGAGCTGCTCTGCATTCCTCTTGCTATTGATCAGGCTGGTGCTTATATTGCTTCTGGAGCCACCACTCTTGGAGACTATCTTGTAAAATATCTTGAGCATCGAAAGATATTATTATCGCAGTCTGAATTTACTGGAGCATCTAAGCATAACAGAACTGTCTATGAAACATGGGAGTTATCATACAAAGAAATTAAGCAGAGGGCTGCATCTGATGATTCTCTTAAGGCCAATGCAGCCAATAGTGCAATGCTCCTTCTGGACTTATTTCCATTCTTTCATCATGAAGGAATCACTGAAGAAATCTTTTCTTATGCTGCAGAACTTCATCATGGTCATGTAGATAAAGAGCACACCTCTGGTTTACCTCTGGCAGATTCTATTCTAGACTGCAGATTGCTACATGTCAATGAAGCAGGAACTTGGGATAGCTTTATTTTCAAAGAAGGCATACGCTTACTTCTTTCTTTGTCAATGGTCAAGATGGTCCCATTCACCAGTGTATACTCTGTGCATTCACTAGTTCATGCTTGGGTTAGAGATCAGATGACTGCAGATCAAAGAGAAAGAAGTTGCTTGATGGCACATGTTATTTTGTCATGTTCTCTGAAGAGTGCTATTTTGTCTTGCCCAAAGAGAAACTTTGAAATTCAACCACATGGATTCAGAAGGACCTTGGTCTCACATATCAGGGCAAATATGCAGCATAATTCTATGTATAAGCAGGAGGAGAGTGCTGATAGCTACTTTGATGATGCTTGTGAACAGATTGGTCTGCTGTTCATGGAGCAAGGTTATGCAAATGAGGCAGAAATGCTAGCTGTCAAAGTTCTGGATAAAAGAAGCAGAATTCTTGGGTGGGAACACCAAGACACAACCAGAGCCATAAGAAATCTTGCAAAAGTCTATGGTATGTTAGGAAGATACACAGAGGCAGAGAAAATGGAGATCCAAGTTCTCAATGCAAGTAAAAGGATTTTTGGAGAAGGGCATCAAGTAACAATTGATGCCATGGAAAATCTTGCTGAAACATACTCAAGCCTGGAAGAATATGCAAAGGCAGAAATGCTAGAGATCCAAATTCTGGATGCAAGAAACAGAGTTCTTGGAGTGGAACACCCAGATACAATCATTGCAATGGCAAATTTAGCAGCAACATATGAAACTCTGGGAAAATACACAGAGTCAGAGAAGCTGGAGATCCAAGTTCTGGATGCAAGGAAGAGAATTTTTGGAGTGGAACACTCAGACACAATCAGAGCCATGGCAAGCCTTGCCTCAACATACTCGGATCTGGGTCAATATGTAGAGGCAGAAAAGCTAAAGATTGAAATTTTGAATTTAAGAGATAGAATTCTTGGGAAAGAACATCCAGATACAATCTCAGCTTTGGCAAGCCTTTCATCAACATACTCAGATCTGGGTCAATATATAGAGGCAGAACAGCTGGGGATCCAAGTTGTGGATACAAGCAAGAAAATTCTTGGTGAGAAACACCCAAACACAATTTTGGCTTTAGCAAACCTTGCATCAACATACTCAGATCTGGGAAAATATGTAGAGGCAGAAAAGTTAGAGATCCAAGTTCTGGATGCAAGGAACAGAATTCTTGGAGAGGAACATCCAGCTACAATCTCAGCTTTGTCAAACCTTGCATCAACATACTCACATCTATGTAAATATGAAGAGGCAAAAAAGCTAGAGACCCAAGTTTTGAGCATCAGAGATAAATTTTTGGGACAAGGATGTCCAGATGAAATTTTAGTTTTAGAGAATCTTGCATCAGCATGCTCACATCTGGGTAAATATGTAGAGGCAGTGGAGCTGCAAAACCAAGTTTTCACTATAAAAAGCAGAATTCTTGGAGAAGAACATCCAGACACAATCTTGGCTTTGGAAAACCTTGCATCAACATATTTACATCTGGAAAATTATGAAGAGGCAGAGAGATTAGGTACCCAGGTTTTGCATGTATGCAATAGGATCCTTGGGGATGAACATCCAAATACTATCAATGCTGTGGGAAGCCTTGCAAGATTCTACTGGATTCAGAAAAAGTACACTGATGCAGAGAAGCTGAATGTCCAATTTCTTCATGCAAGCAGAAGACTTTATGGAGAAGAACACCCAATTACTGTGAGAGCCATAGGAAATCTTGCAGCAACATACTTGGGCCAGGAAAAGTATGAAGAGGCTGAGGAGCTAAAAATCCAAGCTGTGAATATTAGTACTAGAATTTTTGGAGAAGATCATCCAGATACACTTGAAGCCATGGCTAATCTTGTAGTATCACTTGGAGAGCTTGGAAAATATACTGAGGCAGAGAAATTTGGAATCAAAGTTTTAGATGCAGAGAGCAGAATTCTTGGAAAAGAACATCCAGACACAATCAGAATGAGGAAGAATCTTTCAATACTTTACAGAAAAATGGGACAATTTATAAAGGCAGAGGAGCTGGCAACTCTAGTTCTAAATTCAAGCAACAGAATCCATGGAGAGGAACATCCAAACACAATTGACGCTATGAAAAATCTTGCAGGAATGTTTGATGAGCTTGAAAAATTTGCAGAAGCAGAGATGCAGTATGCTAAGCTTCTAGATGTGTGCAAAAGAGTCTTTGGAGAAGAGCACCCAGATACAATGATGGCCATGGGAAATCTTGCCTCAGCATGCTCACAATTGGGAAAGTATTCAGAGGCAGAAAAGTTAGAGATTCATGCCCTGAATCTAAGGCAACGAATTTTTGGAGTAGAACACCCAATCACACTACAAGCCATGGGAAATCTTTTTGCAACATTTGATGATCTGAGCA